GTCAATCCTTTTCTTACAGTATTACGATAGTTGTTCAAGGTCCACTTATGAGTGAGAACATGTGATACTCAGATCTTTGTTTCTGTGAGAGATCACTTAGTATTATAAACTCCAATTCCATCCAGGTTGCTGCAAAATTCATGATTTTGTTCTTTTTTATGACTGTGTAATATTCCATTGTGTATATGTACCACATTTTAAAAATCCAGTCCTCTTTTGATGGACAGCATGGTTGGTTCCATGTTCCTGCTGTTGTGAACAATTCTGCGATAAACATATATGTGCAGGTATCTTTTTTATAGAGTGATTTGAGCTCTTCAGGTATACCCTGAAGGGTCATATGGAAGGTCGATTTTTAGGGCTTTTAGGAATCACCACACTGATTTTCACAGAGGCTGCACTAGTCTATACTCCCACCAACAGTGTAGAAGTGTTCCCTTCTCACCAAATCCTCTCCAGCATCTGTTATTTTTTGAGTTATGGATAATGGCCATTCTGACTGGAGTTAGGTGGTATCTCAGTGTAGTTTTAATTTGCATCTCTTTGATGACTAGTGAGGTTGAACATTTCTTCATGTATCTGTTGGCTATTCGTATGTCTTCCCTTGAGAAGTGTCTGTTCATATCTTTTGCCTACTTTGTAATGGGGTTGTTTGTTTTTTTCTTTTCAGCACATTTGAGTGCCTTGTAGATCCTAGATGTTAGGCCTTTGTCAGACATGGAGTTGGCAAATACTTTTTCCCAGTCTGTGGGCTGTCTCCCTGCTCTCTTGATGGTTTTCTGGCTTTGCAGAAGCTTGTCAGTTTAATGAGGTCCCACTTGTCTATTTTATCTGTTATGGCCCGTGAGTTCAGGTTTTGCTCAGGAATTGGATGCCAGTTCCAACTTCCATAAGGGTGTGTCCTGCATTTTCTAAGGTTCTTATGGTTTGAGGTTTTACATTTAGGTCTCTGATCCATTTAGAGTTAATTTTTGTATATGGGGATAGATAGGGGTCTTGTTTGAATCTTCTGAAAGTGATCAGTCAGTATTCCCAGCACCATTTACTGAATAGGTTCTCCTCTCTCCAGTGGTGGGTGGTGGAGGCTTTGTCAAAGATGAGTTGGTTGAGAAATTGGGGTTTTGCTTCTGGAATCTCAATTCTATTCCATTGGTCTATATCCTGTTCTTGTACCAATACCAAGCCATTTTGGTTATTGTAGCTTTATAGTAAAGTTTAAAGTCTGGTATTGTGAAACCTCCTGCTTTGTTTTTGTTTTTCTTTTTGCTGAGGATTGTTCTGGCTATTCTTGGTCATTTGTGTTTCCATATGAATTCCTGTATTGTTTTTTCTAGATCTGAGAACCATGTTGCTGATGATTTGATGGGTATTGCATTAA